TATATTGCGGCCAAATGACTTATACTATTTTAATATTTATAAATAATAATAATCAAATTAATAACATAAGATTTGTATAGGGCTCGCTCATATTCAAATTTAAAGAGCAACAATCTATATACCCTATATACGGATTTTAATTACATTTTGATATACATATTTAATTAATTTTTGCTGGTCTTCACATATCATTTATTTGCAAAAATAACATGAGCTACTTCAGAATTGCCTAATTGAAGAATGCTTGCCATTGAGGGGCTCCCTCGGTCTATCGGCGAGGATTAAAGAACTGCTTAAAAATAATAAATTATTACGTAGTATTATTTTATAATATGAAATTTGATATAAAGTAGTGAAATCATTAAAAAAAATCTATAAATAGTTACATGAAATTCGATTAAAAGATTAAATTAAATTAAACTATACAGGAGGCCGCTAACTGTATTATAAAATATTATACACAGGAACGCACATCACGTTATTACCAAAATGGCCAATTCATTCCAATTGGAAAAAATCATATTGGGTCCAATTGGAAAATACATCATTGGATTTTGGCACTTTCCAATTGGAAATTACATCATTGGATTTTGGCACTTTCCAATTGGATCCAATTGGAAAATACATCATTGGATTTTGGCACTTTCCAATTCAACTTGTTTCCAATTGGACTTGTTTCCAATTGGATGTTATTAGCTCAATTGGAAAAATTCCAATTGGAAAGTGCCAAAATCCAATTTTATCCCATTGGATTTTGGCACTTTCCAATTGGAATATTATCCAACATAGCCTTGACACTTGTTGGAAAGTTGAAGTTAAAATTTAATGTTTAGTTTCAACAGAAAATAACTGACATCAGATACTTGCAGAGCCTTCGCTTCAAAATTCAGTTAATCTGTTAAAAACAATATAGGTCTAGAGATAAAAAGCAGTTTGATATAGTGATACTGATGATATAATAATAATCATTCATTAATTATCAATAATTAATTAAACAGTACTACTAGGCCTAGCATGCCTTTTATCTAGGGCTAGGCCTAGACTAAAGGCCTAGAAATATAGCCTAGCCTTCCCTATGCTAGGCTTCTGGGTCAACATAGGCCTACCAATACTAGCCTAGGCCTAGTACTAGTAATACAAATTGTATCCCCCTGCTGGCCTAGGTAGGCCATTATACTATCTAAATCAACAAATTTAAATTTAAAAAAAAATAAAAAAGTTTAAAACAAGTATGAAATAATCTGAACTAGGCCCTAGGCCTAGGCTAAGCTTGGCCTAATCATTACCCTGTTATTATTGAGTTAGGCTGTGCAAGCATAGCCTAGGCTTGGACAGGCCTAACGATATGGCATGTAGCAGACAAAGCCAGCCCCACCTACACAGCCATATCTACCCATCCTGAAGGCCTCCATGCCCTGAGGAAGGCTATACACTGCACTATTCTACCTAGGCCCCTCAGGTCACCCATGGCATTTGGCTGGCAATGTTCGATTTTTAAATTCAATTTCTAATTAATCTAAACCAATAATCATTTCAAAAAAAGTCTAAGAAAGGACCAGGCTTAGTATTGTATTAAATAGTTTAGGAATTTGAACACAAAATACTTACTTTTTATGAACAAAAACAACTTAGAGCAGGACAGCCTGTCATATTCTCTCACCCATTGTGCAAAAATGGCGCATTTTAACTGTATAACTTTTATCACGCAGTTGTCCAGACACCTGTTAATACTGCATTCTGATTGGTCAAATAAATCCCAATTGGAATTAACACAATCCAATTGGATAATTGTTATCCAATTGGATAATTGTTATCCAATTGGAATGTAAAGACAATCCAATTGGATATTTGTTATCCTATTGGAATTTTAAAACAATCCAATTGGATATTTCTCTTCCAATTGGAATTGAAAAACAATCCAATTGGATATTTGCTATCCAATTGGAATTTCAAGACAATCCAATTGGATATTTCTTATCCAATTGGAATTTAAAGGCAATTCAATTGGATATTTCTTGTCCAATTGGAATAAGTAAAAATTCCAATTGGATATTTATAATCCAATTGGAAATCTGTTCCAATTGGATTTGGTTTTTTTTACTTCAATTGGTATTTGTTATCAAATTGGATTTTAAAAAAAATTTCAATTGGAGATTAATTGTCCAATTGGATTTTTCCAATTTCTAATTGGTCATTTGTCATCTAATTCATTCCAATTGGATTTATAAAAAAAATCCTATTGGACATTTGTTATCCAATTGATCTCAATAGGATTTTTTCCAAAATTCCAATTGGAATATTTTTTTCTTAATTGGAACCAATTGGATCCAATTCATTCCAATTACAATCCAACTGACTCATATTGAATCCAATCAATTTCCAATTGGAATGAATTGGTCATTTTCGTATGACACAAAATGGCTTCTAAATTCTCAATGTCGCAACTCTTTCTATCTAATGGCTCTGAGGACTGGAATCCAATACGGTACCGACAGTTTAGAATAGATACTGCCGTATCGGTTATTGTCTCCATAAAAATACACAAAATATCTACCTACCAACTAGAAGGCTACGTAAAATACGCTAACGTAACGAGTCAAACAGGATCTGGCTTTCTGTATGTTGATACTTCTCTCATGATTTGAAAGATGACAACAAAAACCTCTTCTTATTGAAAGCTGCCACTGTCTGTTGTAGTGAAAAAGTGGATTTTTGCGAATGAAATTTATTAGTATTTAATAGAACTCACTCCCTTCAACTGGCACCCGATAATACTCATAATTCTCCCATGAACCGGGTTTCACCCAAAATGTTTTACCTTATTAGCATATTGGAAATACCCTAACCAAAACAAAATGGTATGATCTTACATCGGGCTTACAATAAGCTAAATATAACTTAAGCAGTACAAAATTATGTTTGATTTTTAAAAACGTAGTTTTGGGTAAGTCTACTATATATATAATATCGATTCCACGTCAACTCATATTCATTGTAAAGAGAACATAGGCATTTGATATGCATTTAGGAAGGTGGTATTCCCTAATAATAATGTACTCAACCAATAACTTTGACGTTTATCTCACTTCCGCCGTATTAAACAAACAGAATGTAGACCTAATATGTTATCTATTAACTGTAATACGCTGAAATACCTACTGGGTGCATCGTATGATCTGTCTCTTATACACATCTAGATGTGTATAAGAGACAGCATGGGACAATTCTAACATTCTGAATTTAAAAGTGCTAGAATACAAGTGATTGGGTTAAATGTGAATAAAAACATAAAACAGAATGAAGATGAAATAAACAATTACAAGGACTCAAATAATTAACTATACAATAAATCATCAGATCAGGTGTTGAAGGAAGGGTGGATGGATCGAACATAATATGTATTCAGTATTTCTGAATGTTTTATTTATGAAGTTATTGTTTGCTTTATATGCATCATCAATGTATGTGTGTCACTGATTCAAAAGCGATTTCCAATAAATTGATTGACTAATGTGCAGCAACTCTAGCCATGGATATATAAAATAAAATCCATTATTATATGAAAACACTATAAAAAAAATATCACATAAATACCCCCACCCACAAAAAAAAAAAATTAAATAAAATGAACAATTCACGGTTTCCTTAAAAGTTCAAAACATACAGACGTTGTTCTAAAATTCTAGGTGTCCCCGTGACAGGTGTCCCCATGTCAATCATTATAACTAATTTACATAACGACCGCCCGTTTATTTGTCTTGTTTAATTCTTTATTTGAGGCCGCCGCGGCCGACCAAGATTTATGTGTAGAGGGCAGTATTGCATTACATTACATCAAAAAAAAAAAAAACCTATTTATCAAAGTTTATTAATAAAGCTGACTATGAGTACCCAATACAATAAAGGAAAACTGTCTTTAATTTAAAGACACCTCAAAACGAGCACGAATTGTTTAGGCCTAGTATGGTAGGCCTTACTTTGTAATCGGTCAAGCCTGTTTGATGGTTTCTTCACTAGGCCTAGGCCTACACATTACTTGACTTGCCAGGGCCTAGCCTAGGCCCTACCTACCAGTACCTAGCTAACTACTGACTGGTACGGTAGTAGAGACGTACTAAGAGAGCCCCCTTACCTACCCTACTAACCAGCCTAGGCCTAGGTAAAAGTAGTAGAGTATGCAAGGACAGACTTAAGTCAGGTAGGTATGTCATCTCAATATCTAACCAAGGCCTAGGTCTTGATCTGTATGAGTTCCAGTTATATATGTCTTATACACTAGGCGGTGCTAATTTACACTTTATTTAGTACTCCAACCCAAAACTTATAACAATAATAACATAGCGACACTGGAGTTAGGGTTATGGTGGAGTACTAAAATAAAGTGCATTAGCGCCCACTAAAGTTATACCAGGGAGTTGTTCAACTCCCTGGTTATACTTTCTAGAAAAAAGCGAATTTTGTATTTTGTTTATTCTCGACGATCGACGATTGTCTTAAAAAATGTGGAAGTTGCCATTGCTTTCTGGTATGCCACCTGCTAGGTTAAGTATAGAAAAACAGAGCATTAAATCACCTGACTTGTACTGCATAAGGCCCTATAAAAAATATTATTAGTTTATCACCCTATCTGGGCAGTAAAAGTGATGAGGGAGGGAGGTTTTTTTTTTTTTTATATATTTTTTATTTTGCTAAAGCCAAATATCACCCTTGGGTTGTTTGCTGGTGCATTGATATTCAAAGTAAAACATGATTTGGATAATGCAAACAATATCTACTAACTATTTAATAAAATAAATGAAAAAAATAAATTTCAAAAATTAAAAAAAAAAATTTTTTTTTCCCAGTACCATAAAAGACATGCGTGCGAGGGTGATAAACTAATAATTTTTTTTTATTGGGCCTACACTGTTTTTAAATATTTAAGGTGTACCACCTAGGCAATACTACCAATAATAAAGCCTATGCTGTATATGATTCATCAAAGTTTAAGGACGCTTCATCTTCTGCGACTACGATTTTGGAGAAAACTACTTGGCATGCACCAATCGGCAACCATAGATGACTTGGAGATTTTGTACAAAAGTGAAAACTTTATTGTTATTAGCAAACATTACGATGTTAAAATCAGCAGCAACGATGACAGCGATGAAGTGACTGCCTCTAAACAACTTGCAAAGAGGTTCCCACATTTAGTAGATACACAGATTGAGCATAATTTCAGGTAACATTTGGAATAGGCATTCTTATATTGATATTTGAAAACATAGATGTACCAGAAGTGGACTCGGGAAGAAAAAAAAAAAAGGAGGAAAAGAAAAGCAAATGTTATTAAAAATGGCATTGTACCTATAATTCACAATTGACTACACCCCCTGTGCACCCCTTTCTTCCGTTCCCCCACCCCCGCCACTTTATTTATTGCTGGTTTCCTTCCATTGTGTTAGTAAACTCATCATTTACTTCAAGCCCTTCATTACAACACTGGCAATTTTGTTTGTATTTTCCACTAGATTTGTTCATCGTCTTGACTATTCCACAAGTGGTGCCATAGCTATTGCGCTTAACAGACAAGCTGCAGCTGATGCAATGTCAAAGTTCAGCAAACACCTTGTCCTCAAGGAGTACTTAGCATTGGTAGGTTACCATAGAAGAACAATGTTAAGCCTTGTCGAGACGAATTTATTTGACAAAATCATGTGACGTAGATCCATGATATTGTGGATAGATCTTTAAAATTACTTGGAAGTTTTGTACTCATTATCAATTTATGAACATGGAAAGTGTCCCACAAATTGATGTACTGTACTAATACAGGATTCCCAAGTTGGAAGAAGTAATTGCTGGAGAACTGCAGTGGCAGATCCAAGAATTCAAAATAGGGGGCCCCAGGAGGGACTTGCACAAATGAAGGAACTAGACCACCTCAGCTCCTTAATGGTTGGGGTTGAGGTAAGAAAATTTACGATTATAGCACCTATAGATGGCCGGAAATGGCCCCCTCAGACTTAGTGTCCAGGGATGGCTTCCCCCTTGAATCTGCCTCTGATCTAGTTAAAGAGTTTTCTTAACACTTTTAATTTTATTTTTCCTGCACATACACATCCTGCACATACCCATCACACTGACTACTGTGAGACAATTGGTAATAAAGCAGTGAAATATGCAACTATTATGAACTTGAGCGAGATGGGTTATTAATTTTTACTAGGAGGTTCTTGCTCCCTTGCTTGCTGGAGGCCGTCCCAATTTCTGGATACTCTAGTTGTTGGAAACTTGGGACCCCTGTGAAAATATAAACATCACAAAGCTCTCCAGGCTTTATTGGCTGGAATGCATTAATATTAATTTATTAGATCAACATTTAAAGAATGATAACTAATAATAATAAAATTTATTATGAAATTTAAATAGGTCAGGGGGCACGTAAAAGATAATCACATGATAATTACTACGGCAATATGTCCTGAATCCAAAGATGGCTGCATGCACATGATGAAAATCGCTGATGAGGAAGATGAAACCAGACAAGGGATTAAGGTGAAATCGGCAAAGACAGAGTTGTCCGTCCTTCAGCATGGATACTATGATGGTGATCCAGCGACAAAGATAAGATTAATACCATTTACTGGTAAGTTTCTAAAACCAACCCATGTTACTTTATTTATGTGGTGGCTTACCGTATCCAACGAGGACTTGGCCTACCACAGATCTCCATCATTGTCTGTCCCGTGCTGCTATTTCCACTTTGACATATCTTGAATTGGTCCACTGGCAAACTTCTCTCATCCATGTCTGCCAAGGTCTTCCTTGTGGTTTCCTTCCTTTAACCTTTCCTTCCAAGATATTTCTTTGTACCTTATTGGCTCTGATTATGTGCCCAACGTACTGACGCTCCCGCTTGCTTATTCCTCCCATGTTTTATTATGCAAATACCAATTAACTTCATGCCTGTTAAAAATGTAAACATCCTGTTAGAGTGGTTGTTATGAAAAATTCTATTACTATGCATTCTGTTTGCTATTATTCTTTGACAAAACACAGTAATTGTATGCCCATATATAGTCAGGATGTGCTTATATTTTTGGTCATGATGTGATGTCATCATGACCATATTTAGGCATATTGTCACATGTCTGGACAGAGCTTTAGAACATTTTATTAACTCGCATAAATAAATTTGAGATTATACATGGCAGTCACATGTTTTTGCAAGATGGTCATGTGATTTAATACAAGACTGTCACATGACGATCACATGCACATGTGGCATATTGCACACATGACCAACGGCTTTGACGTATTATGCCAAAGACATTTCAGCGCTCCAGCTGTACATAAGGAGAGTAGGGTATAGCATTGAACCAAGGACTAATGCTATGTTAAGATCTTCACAGTTCAACACACACTAGTGGCTACCACCAGTTTAGCTAACAGTGCTAAGTTGCCCTCTGTATTGTATTAAAATCACATGACTATCATGTGACCATATGTGACTGCCATGTTAAGATGTAACCATGTATATAAAATACTCGATTGTCATGTACAGTTGTTTAAAATCACAATCCCATTATGTGAACGCTTGTGACTCTGAATATTTTATATTTTTAGGCAGGCGACATCAGCTTCGGGTCCACTGTGATAGTATCGGCCACACCATCGTCGGTGATTATACCTACAGCAATCGAAGGGACGTCAAACCTTATCGTATGATGCTGCATTCTCAAAAGCTTATGCTCCCAACAGACCTTGAAAAAATATCAGTTGATGCATTTGACCCGTTTGTTACGGAAATCGATGAAAAGTGGAAACCATTTTGATATCAACCTATCAAGTATAAATCATTATAATTATTCGGTATGAAGAGCAAACCAGGCACGCACAAATCCATCTCTGTTCTACATGAGCACCTGTCCTCTCAATGTTATCTGCTCATTGTCATTGACAGTCTACGAAAATTGTCGTTAAAAGTATTATGCAACGTGTTGCAACGCATTGTGTCCCCGGATTTTTGCCCCACTGAGGAATGAGACCAAACAAAGGAAGGCTTCCTGTAGGGTCATCAAGTATTCAAGTACTGTACTGTATAAGTTTATTCAAATTCAGACATCAAATAAAATAGTAAAATCAAATAACATAGCAAAATTGAAGAACAAAGATGATGAATTGAAATGAAAAGGAGACATTAAAAAACAAGCATAGCTTTTTCCCATGAAGCCCCATACAAAAGTGAAAAAGATCGACCTAATTTGACTACAGGTAAAAACTATACCTTGCTGAACGCCATTCCGGTATTTCTACAATAAGATTGTCGGGGTCATAATGTCTTTAAAGGCAGAAATTGTTAAAGGTTGCCAGAATCAGAGAATGGATTGAACATGGGGATAGTGTTTTAAAGTCTATTCTTGCAAAAACATGGACAATAATAATTTTATTGACTGTATCTGTACCAGACATGTCTATTAGTTTGTCTCATGTCAGCGCTGCTGTGAAGCAGTGGAAATTGACAACTGAGGGGCTAGATGTAAACAAACCCCACTGGACCCCAGCATACGAGCCGGACATCTGTTAAAAACCCCAGTATGTGGAGGGCATCAGGGTTCAACAGCATAGCTCCAATACCAAATTAATGACTATATTTTTGGTTATAATAATAATAACAAAACAACAACAACTTCTTAATTATTAGTAACTAAAGTGCAATAGTATTTAATGTACAGCAGAACCCACTCCTTTGGGACACCTCTATTAAAGGGACAATTTTTGGCCACAAATTGAGGGAAAGAATATCTTTTAACACTACGGTCGGAATCCTATTTAAGGGACACTTTAATAGGGGTTCTGCTGTGTCTTTAATACAAGACACTCTGAGTTAATGTCTCAGCACCTTTGGGTATTGCTTTGAAAGGATCCTTGCACTATAGAGTACAAATTGTTAACATTGATTGATTAATTGATTGATTGATTGATTGATTGATACAAGTCAATCTATTGTATGTAAATGACATTTTAATAAATTTATTTTATTTAAATTTCTGCATTTTCTGGTATGTGTATAACCTAGCAGTTTTGGCGTAATTAGTTGATAATCCTGCGATTGATGAATGTACATAGGTAAATAAAAATCGCAAGTGAAAATACTCTATTTTCAATTTCTATTTGGAGAGAACATCAGTGGCGGATCCAGGAATTTGAAATAGAGGGGGCCCAGGAAGGCCCTTTCACAGATAGAAGGAAAAATATGATTATGGCCTGAAATTACACTCTCAGACTATTTTAATATATACTTTCTTCTTTTCTTTACATTTTTTTATAATTTCGAAAAAATTATGGTGGTGGGGGGTGCCGGCCGGCTTGGACCCCCTTAAATACCCCACTGAACATTACATTTCTAGAATAACTCAAAACATACTGATATTTACGAGTGCACTTTCGCTTATGCGTTATATTTATGTATTTAAACGAAGATGATGAAGACTGCTTATGGTGAGGCTTATGATGACGACGATAAATATGGTGATGATTATGACGACGGTGATGGTGCTGATGTTGGCAGTGGTGGTAATTGGTATTTTGAGAGCTAAATTTTATTTTATATTAAATTTGGATGCACATCTTTTGGCCTAGAAGGCTTTGGGTCCCAATTTGGTTTTCAGGCAAAAATGTTCATCCCTTTCTTTCCCCAAAATGCAAGTCCTCCCATATGCATAGTTACTCAGATTCAGATATGTTTATTTGATCCAAATAATGAAAGCAAATACAGAAAAACAGTACCACAGTACTGAAAATATTAAAAAGAGAGAAATGGATCTGGGAGACTTATTATTTCTGGAACAGCCGCTAGCATAAGAGCCACCCATGAAAACTTCAATATCTAAGATAATAATAATATTGATAATAATAATAATAATAAATAATAATAATAATAATAATAATATAATAATAATAATATAATAATAATAATAATAATAATAATAATAATATTACTATCATCACCATCACCATTATTATAATAGTAATAATAATAAAAATAATAATAAGTGATTCTTTTATAGCGCTTATTGCCAAAGGCCTCTAATCGCTTCACATGTTAACAATAATATCAATACGATAATAATAAATCATAATACTCAAAACAAACAAGCACAAGCCCATTGTCGTAACCAGGGGGAAGATTTCCCCAACAACAGTAAAGTGGGCGTGTTCAGAAAGAGGTCCAGTGGGAGAATCCCCGAAAATTTTGACAATTTAGGGGTTTCAGATGCTTATTTAATCGAATTTAGAGTCTACAAATATGTAGAAAATACATTTTTTTTTCTCCGGGGGGGGGGGGGCTGGCCTGGGATTTATTTAAGTCAAAAAAGTTGAGATGTCCCTAAACAAATATCCTAAGCTGATATATCAAACCATTTTAGCAAAATCTTAGCTTAAAAATAGTATTAAATGGCGCATGTGTACAAAAACTTTTTAATTTTAAGCAATTATTAAACTAAGCAATATTGATAAATCTGACTTAAGCAAAGAAATGGAATTAAGCCAAATTTAAGCCGATTTCTAGTTTGATAAATCCGGACCCTGCCCCCCCCCCCCACACC